TAACACAAACAACTCACAGTTGCCGAATAACAATAACAAAACAAGTATAACGATAGATACATATAAATTATATCAATTGCTTATCTAAAACTATATGTAATATAAATATATATTTATTTTTCTATTGAACTTTTAAATTTACTAGTCGTTAAAGGTTTAATTTTAGTAGACACACAATTTAGAAAAAAAGATTATTTAAATTTGTTCGAATGAGACAATATATAGAATTAATTATTGATAGTGAACGCCGTCTATAGAAAATTAAGTACAGAATAATACACGGAATATCTTACGGACATCAGGAAAAATCTTCGTAAATATAAATACAAAAAAACTTGTCGTATACAATAAAAGTACTGCTAGTAAAATTCTATCAAAATCCGTATTCAAATCGAAATCTCATGTGCTGAATATTTAACATCAAGTAGCAGGAGTAAAAGATGCAAAACTGCAAAGCGCGTTGACAATATTTTATTTGGTCTATTTATCAGAAATTGCCAGAGAAGCGGGGGTTTTAAAAATATTTCTCGTTTCCACGACGCTAGCCTAAAAGCCTTTTCTACCTTAAAACCTCCGACGGGCTTCATGAAATTGAATTTTTCACTGTTATGTTTGAATAATGTTACTGTAAAGTAATACTACGAACATTTAACACAATCCTATTTTTGTCATCTATTTACTAAGTCAGTTTCAAAATAGTCATTGTACTTTTACTGTATTTATAATTTGACGTATTCACTGACTATTAGGAATGTATATATGTATGTATATACACAGAGTTGTACTAAAAGTACTACATTAGTAGTACTACAGTAGTATCCTTCTCTTAAATAGTCGTATCATCGTAAACATGTTTTGCACAGAATCATATGTAACAATGTAATCGACTTAGCTTGTGACCCTTTAGGAGTTATATGAAGTCAAAATATTTCATACATTTTAGAAATCCTTCAACTCATACTATCCATTTTAACTCCTTCCGTTGATCACATAAAATTAACAAAGAACATTTTATCATACTAATAGTATAGATACAATTTTGTTTTGTAATCAATTAGTGTTACATCACGAATAATAATTGAGACTTCTACTATGAAAGGTCCAATTTCTGTAAAAACAAATAAATATACTCTTTATATTATCTATTTAAAGAAATATTAATAAATTCTTCTTAAACTTAAAAATCACCTTATTAATTTTGTGATACAAAGATAAGAAAACACTTAATTAAATTTAAATATAATGATATTCGTGAAAGTTGATATCAAGGATTTAAAATTGTATAAAAAATCATCGACTTTCATATGTATGGAAAGTATCTCATATAATTTAAAATATATACACATATATATCTGAACCTTCTAAAAATATTTTTGAGGGGAGTTTATATTTTAGTTAAGATTTTTGAACGAATTTAACGTTTAAAAATATAGCACGCGTTCCGTTTAATCAAAAGCAAATATTCCACTGTTTCCGAACCGGTAATTGATATGCGTTGGTTGGTATAAAAAATATATACGAATGTATCAACCAGCGAACCGTCGGCTTGTTATGCGCAATCGCAAAACCAGTCCATTATATAAAACTCGGCTATAATGTATAGTATGCAAGAATTCGCACTTAAACACACTCGACCGATAGATTTCACTCGGAAAGCGTCTTGGTATATACGTTAAGAAATATGTATATGGTTATGAAATTGACCCAGTTCACCAATGACAATTCGTTTTTTATGTCACCGGTTTTTTGTCGTAGATTTGGAAGCGTAATGTAAAAATCCGCAGCCGAATACAGTCCTTGAACGCAATTATTGTTAAGGAATATTAGATAACAAAGAATTGATCCTGTATCATCATTACTTAGGGATAAATGATATTACTTACGCTGAATATCTTTATACTGAATATTAAGAGCTGAAACCTTGATACATTGTATAAGAACAGCTGATCCATCGAATAATAATACTTTTCAAAAAGATATTTTGTAATTTCTTCATAGCGTATTTATTGATGTGTTAACAAGTACTTTATTCCCAAAAATATTGTTTTTATATTTGTCTAAAATATATCGGTTGAATTTTCTACTTTTTTGTGTAATAGAATGTATTTTTAATAAAGATAAAATTAACATGAATTTTTTTATATTCATTGAAATAAACCCACACGAAATACTTGTATTTATTGCTTCATGAAAAACAACAGCAAAAATTATATATAGGTTATGAGAGCAAAAAATCCTTTTACGGAAATTGAATTTAAACATCAATTGAAATAAAAAGCTCACGTGTGATGTTGTTTTTTTGGCAATTTGTTAATCTATTGCAGACTATAGTGATTGATTGAGTGACAGAGAATTTTAATATATATAGGCGAATTAAATAAAAAAACAAAATGATTTTGAGGCTTACTTCTTGAGAATACTCTAAAGCACTCCTTAAAATATGGAAAAATCTCATCTTTACAATAAAATAACAACATTTACATCAGTTAAATCGTTTCTGAGAAACAAATTTATTTCTTTACATAAAAGCCAACAGATAAAAAAAACAAGACGCTTGAAACGTATCTTTTTTTATGGAATTTATAACTGATCTGCATATTTGATTTCAGTTAACTTTATGGAGTTTGAATAAACTGAAGAAATAAAGTCATATAAAATGAAATCTTCACGTATTTGAAATATATTTGGCTAATTTAGAAACTTAGTTCGTCCGTTGAGTCGTTCAAATTAATATTTATAAAGAAATCCTTTGGTTTTCATTAAAAATATATTTCCTATAACGGGATGTAAAATTGCATTTAAAATTGCAAAACCGCAGAAACTAATTTATTTTAATCGTCAGAAAGTATTTTTCTGAAGTTTTTAAATTACTTTTTATCGTCTAGCTTTAAATATAAACATTTTTTAAACTAATATTACGAAATTAAAAACTTTTGCATTCATAATATTAAATACATATTAATTTGACTGAGAAAACATTTTTAATATCGTTCAAATATTTAAAAAAACATTTGCGAGAATATTAAAACAAGTTCAAAGAAGCGGCCATAGAAATGTTTCCTTTTAAATTTAAAGAAAAAACCATCTCTATTACCACGGATAAAAATAAAAAAAGGCATGACCTATTTGAGTTCTCATTTCAATAAAGATTTTCAATGCCAATCATTATTATTAATGATGTCTGTACTATTTTGTATGCGTTTCTTTCTTGAATATACAAGATGTTGGCGTATAGGAATAAATGACGAAGAAGTAATACTCCTTGTGTGCCTCTATGCGAAATAATGCAAGAAGCTTTGTGCTCTATGTAAGCTCTGCGAGGTAGACTTTTGTTATAAAGGAAATCTCTAAAGATCTTTGAAGCTATTTTAATATGCATCATCAGTTGGTGATATGAAGTAACGATGTTTGTATTCAGTGATTTATTGGCTACATAAAAACATATATACGTACATATACTTTAAAATATATTATCATATCGGTCTTGTTATTGCAACTAAAATCGGAATACTAGGCCCATATAATAATCATATAATTTATTCTTACTTCAATGAATACTAAAATTATTTTTAACATTTCAAAGCGGTAAAAGCATTCACTTTTAATTCAATATAAATTCACTTTTACCTAAATGTCTCAATGACAAAATGTTGGAGAAATTTTCGCTGTAGCTCCTTATTTAATATTTAAAAATGGCTTGAAATATTGAAGCCAGAGTTAAATGACTTTGATGTTTATTTAATTCTTGATATAAATGGCACAGTAGACTTTTGATGACACTATATACAAAAATTAAGTGAATTAAATGAAAATAGACTTAATTCGTAATATACTTTTCAATAAATTGCCTTGTGTAATATTTTTAACAGCTAAGATAAAATATTTCAATATTACTTATATTATAGTTTTACTTAATTGAATGCTATATGATCATACTATATTCATTTTTTTCTTTTATATATGTATTAAATGTTTATTTAGAGTATAAAAACTATTTCCATATAAAAATATTATTAAAATCTTTAGCCTTCTTTTATTGTAAGTTAAAAATACTTTATAATACACTTTTTATTAAGTTCTCGTATGGAAAGAATTTCAATGGTATCCCAATCTTTCGCGTCTACTGCATATTATAAGGTCTGTGATGTTAAGAGACGGGAAGGTATAGTGCTTTCATGTCTTAGAAACACAAATGTATGGTTTATATATAAAGATAGTGAATTATCTATATGAAAAGACATTGCATTACAAAATTGGTATATTTTCATAAACTCCTTTTACTAGTTCATTACATAATTTAGTCCCAATTTATTCTTTTTTATTGAAGTAAAACTTGTTTACGCCCGCTTGGGGGTAGCGGGTGAAAGCATTGCGAAAAGTGTGATCGGGTGAGAAAATGGAAGTAAGAGTACACTGATTTAATTTTTTATGTAAGAACGGAAGAAACTATTTATTTTGATAACATATTATATCTTATAGAAATACATGTGGTTAACGAGAAATATCTCAATGAATGATAAGGTTTTCATTCTGTCGAATTCAACGACTGCAGATATTTGTAATTGGCTCTTAGTGGTTAAGAATTAATATCCTTTAACACCCGGGCTTTTGCGTTTATATTGGATAGCATGATTTTGAAGATTATCGTATTTCGTACATTGAAGCTACGATCGAAACTAGTATTGCCTATATTCATAATATATCTTTTTATATAAAAGAAAGTCGTGTTAGTTATACTACAATATTTATAACTCAAGAACGGCTTTAGGCGTTATACTGAAAATTGGTGAAAAGATAGAAAGAAAAATGATAAAATCCAAAATATTTTTATTACCTGCCTTTAAACAGGAATAAACTTCGCCCAGTCAGCTTTACGTATTTTTAAACAAAACGCAGACGAAGTCGCGGGCAAAAACTAATTAAATATTAAAATACATTATCACAATACAAAAAGTTATTAACAGTTAAAATTATTATTTTATTTTTGTTTATTTTTCCAGATGTGGCTGAGTGTTCTGTTCGTAGCATCATTCATCGGCTTATTATTGTATTTAGATACTCGGAAACCCCGAAAATTTCCACCTGGCCCGAATTGGTTACCTATATTGGGGAGCGCCTTGGAGGTCAAGAAGAGCAGAGACAAAACTGGATACCTATACAGGAGTATCAAGCAACTATCAAACACATACTGCAAATATAGTCCTTTGATAGGCTTGAAAATAGGAAAAGACAGAATCGTGATGGTGAACACTGTAGAAGCTAACAAAGAAATGCTTCACAACGAATTCATAGACGGAAGACCGACGGGTATATTCTATCAGACGAGAACTTGGGGTGAAAGACGTGGTGTACTTCTCACGGACGGTGAATTGTGGAAAGAACAAAGAAAGTTTTTGATACGTCACTTAAAAGAATTCGGCTTCGGAAGAAGTGGCATGAGTGAAACAGCTGTCGTCGAAGCTGAGCATATGACCCAGGATATACTGGATATTATGGGAGAAAAGAAAAGTGCAACTATACAAATGCACAACTTCTTCAACACTTATATTTTGAACACTCTATGGACAATGATGGCGGGAAAACGATACAATCCAAGTCACCCAGAAATGGTACTCTTACAAACCATATTATTTGAGCTCTTTGCAGCTATTGACATGGTAGGCTGTTCGTTTAGTCATTTTCCAATACTATCTATACTAGCACCGACTTTATCTGGCTACAAAGACTTTGTTCGGACACATAAAAGAATCTGGAAATTCTTACGTAACGAGATCGCTAGTCACAAGTCGAGGTTTGACTCGAATAAAGAAGACAAAGATTTTATGGACGTTTACTTGCGTGTCTTAAGAGAACATGGCGAAATCAATACTTATTCAGAGGGACAGCTAGTAGCTACTTGTATGGACATGTTTATGGCGGGTACAGAGACAACGACTAAGAGTATGAGCTTTTGCTTCAGCTACCTTGTCCGTGAACAGCAAGTCCAAAAGAAAGCTCAAGAAGAAATAGACAGAGTCATAGGGAGAAACAAAACTCCCACACTCAACGATCGTCCCAAGTAAGGAATGTTTATCATAAACAAGATCCATACGCAATTTTTTAGAATAAAAATATATTTCTTACTTATTAAATTTAAAACTAAAAGACAAATAGATTTTTTATAATATTTTTCTTGTTTGTAACATCATAATCTGAGTTTACCAAGAAATAAGTCTTATTCGTGATTTTTATCATGTATTTTTAGTATGCCATATAATGAGGCGATAATGCTTGAAAGCATTCGGCACTTCATGGGTCGAACATTCGGAGTGCCTCATCGAGCTCTACAGAACACGACATTAGCCGGTTATAATATACCCAAAGTGAGTAAAATGTATTTAGGGTAAGCCAAATAAAGTTATTTGTTTATTTTCATATTTCTTCCACAATTTTTCTTGACTGTAATATTAACCCCTGTAAAGTATAGTGTAAACTGTGTGATTAATACGCTGGTAACTTTAGTCATCTCTATAGAATGATATTTCCATACATTCGTATTGTACGCGATGATTTAAACTTTACGCAAACTTAAAATTCTCAGTTTTAAACTTGCTAGTCACATATATATTTATAAATATGAAGAGTCGCTACCAACAGTATACGCCATATTATTATGATATATAAAATTTCATAGACTTTAACGTATTTCTAATATGATGATAATTTAAAAAAATAATATAAATAACGATTATCTTTACTTCTTCTTCCAGGATACAATGGTAGTGAGTAACTTCCCAAACATATTGATGGATGATGATCTGTATCCCGAGCCCTATTCTTTCAAACCGGAGAGATTCATGTTAGACGGGAAGCTGAGCATTCCTGACCATTTCTTCCCCTTCGGTCTGTCCAAGCACAGATGTATGGGAGATGTTTTGGCTAAATGTAACATGTTCGTGTTTATAACAACGATGCTTCAGAGATTTAGTTTCTTACCAGTTCCCGGAGAACCGTTGCCTTCATTGGATCATGTGGATGGAGCTACTGCATCAGCAGCCCCCTTCAAAGCTTTAATAATACCAAGGATGCAAGACGAATAATCATTTCTTGTGATATAATTAAGATTTAGTGAATAAAACTTTAAATTGCCATATATGTTATAATGGCTTATATGTATTTAAGTTAAATGAACAAACTAACTGACTGATTGACTACACATGAATTGACGGAAGTCACATGTTGGGAACTTGTTTCTATCTTAGTTTTTTGCTGCTGAAATATAAAAAAACTAATTAAAATATTATTTTAAGTTGAAACGTAAATATACCATTAAAAAGTAACTTGTTTTTATGGTGAGAATATTAAAAATAATTGGTATAATAATGGTTATACAACAAAAGACTTATAAGAACGGATTTGTATTAATACATTATGTAAATTCCGTATGGAAAAAATGTAATAAAATTAGTTTACTATTGTGTTTTTTCTTTACATATTTAAGTAATAAGAAAAACAAATGGGTATTTGGATATAAGCAATTTAGAAATGAATTTGTGAAGGCTCCTCACAGAGCTATCTAGTTTGAGATAGAGAACTAAAAGCGCTATCTTTTGTCAGAAGTAAAAACGCGAAAATTTTGTATCTTTTGCAGCGCCATCTATGTTCAATACATATCCTAATACCACTTTGTGTCACAACCTACGAAGATAGTGTTGATAGTTTTTGTTAGATGGCGCTTCTATAAAAAATGTTCAAAAAAATTAATAACAGTAGGTAATTACTTTTCGCTTTTAAATGAATTACAATCAATGATAGGACTTAGTTAAAGGATGTTTTCGAGAATTTGAATTACGTTTTGGTATCCCTAATAGTCAATATGTAAGGTATCCCACATCATAAATTGTATTAAAAAACGAATTTTTTCGGTCAACTATACTTACAAGTGTAACGGAAAACTTTGTGAATTTTAATGGTTCCATTAAAAAAATAAGGGAAGAATGGTCTATACAAGTTATTGGAGATTGGCCTTTCAATATCAACATTTAGACGACAAAAAAGTTCTGAACGTGGGTGTAGCAAAAACTGTGACATGTGTTAGTTACCCTTTACCACAACTGTTCATAGATGGCTTTGATGTCAAAGAACGCCATATGATGATTCTAAAAAATAATCACGGTTACGCTATCCAAAAGCCTATATTCTACTTTTGATGACCATTTAATAAAAAAATAAACCTGAGATAAATAATGTCACCTATTACTATCTCATGACTTATAAGCGACATTTTAAATTAATTTTAAAGACGAACTGTGAGGTGGCTGATTTCGTTGGAGTTTTTTAAACAGTTAAAAGTTTTACTTCAAAAGCAAATTTATTCACACTGGCGGTAAGGCTTTACGAATGCGGTAACTATATTTCAAAGAGACTAAATCCCCAATTATATGACTGAATTATCGAGAATTTATGGAGTAAGTGTAAATTACATTATGCTCGTTTAATTTTTAGTTACTTATAATGCTCGCCTTTTTATAAAACTCGAATTTTATCGAAAGAATAACTTTGGCTTGTAAGTATGAAGTAGATTTTAGTACAAATGAATATCATGAAAGCACCTAAAAAAACTCCTAGCAGTGTTTCAGTGTATACAATAGTTCAGCAATAACCTGTAAGTTATCATTGTTACACACTTAAAGTTTAATATCAGCTAGTGCTTTCTTCTTCTTCTACCTGGCAATTTCCCAGCTTTAGCCAGGATCTGGCTTACATGTATTGAATAATTTTGGCTAATTGTTTTTACGACCGACTGCCTGCATGACAACAATTCTCTTTGGGAATGCATTAATCAGTGATGTCGAAATACTCTTAGACAGTACATATGACTCGGAAAAAACACAGTGGTACTTGCCAGAATCAAATTCGCGCCCTCATACATATGATGCGGGCTTTTTAACCGCTAGGTCACCACTGCTTTCTATATTTGTTTTTAGTATTAAATTTCTATAACAATGTTCATTTGTCACGTTTTTAATGTGTCAAGATATTATAAACAAATACTTGAAATTCCTTCAACGGCATTCAAATGTTTGTATAACATTTTCGATTTCATCTATAGTAACTTCGAAGGGTTGTAGACTTGTAGTATTCTCGATTTCGGAGGACCGGTAAAGTTACGAATACATCGATAAATATATTTGAAGTATTATTGTTGCTAAGGGACCAATGATATTCAACATTTTGTTTTTAAAAAGTACAAGAAGCTATTTACGGCTAAAATTTATTTTGTCTAGAAAAGGTTAAAGATATTTTATATTAAGAGGAATTTTAGATTTTGGAAGAGAATTGGTGTTTAATTTGATTCGGAAAGAAGTCTTAATTTGTGATAGTTTGACCTTGACATTTCAAAAATTCTTACTTATGAAAATATTGTTACTAATTTTCTTTGCTAAATTTAAATTTTAATAATTTTATTAGACTATTTAGATCTGTACTGTTTATAAATCAATTATTTAAATAAAAGTTATTGCATGCCTTGTGGACCTATAAATTAGGAGAAGCCTTATTCTTTTATGACAAAGAATGCTTCTGAGTATTAACCACAAAAAGTGCGGACGTGTTTCTTTTGATTTGTAGAAGTTTATTCATTTAGACATTGAAAAAAATAGGTAAAAAACCTTTTAAGTTAAACGGTTTTAGTGAAACATACATTACAATGTTTGAGATAAATGTACTAAAAACCAAAAAATAATAAAATAGATACAGTCGTGGGAATTATAAACATATGTACAGACTAGACTAAAAAAAAGCGTGGGGCAAGTCAATTGTCTACAAATTATCAACTTAATGTGCGATAGAAGAATCGTTTAATTCGTCGTTAGGCAGGTGGCCCGCAGACGGTGAGGAAATTACTTACTATTTTCTTGCTCATGGAAATTACAACTGCCTAATTATAGTGTTACATTACAAAACAAACATTTTAATCAATTATTTATTTTATCATTTAATTTATTTTATTTTGCCCCACGCTTTTATTGCTAAATAAAACCGTTTTAAAATACATAGTACAGTTATTATTGAAATAAATTGATATATGTATATTTTTTTCACAGACAGACAGACGGACATTCACGTCACGAAACGTCGGGATTATTTAATTATTTTTTTTTAATTAAAAACACGCGTAGTAATCCGAGAATATTAGTTTCATTCTTATCTTAAATTGTTTGTTAATATACCAGATATTTCTTACTTTCATATCCTGGTGCACTTATAAATAGCATAAATTCTGTTATGTTTGAGAAGAATTCGTTTAAATTTTTCATCATAAACCGTAGTAGTTTAGTTACAATTTAATACAAGAGCTTCATTGTTATAATAAACCTCGCCAGAGTAATTAGATACATTACTTTCGATAAATGCACGTGCTTGCAACGTAGAATTCGTTGATTAAATTGAGATTAAAACAAGAGATTACTGTGAAAAGATTTGAGTCCAAAATAATGGTGGAAATATTCAGTTTGCTTTATCTTCTGCAAATGAAATTAATATTTCTTTTTATTTTCAGGTATGAATAGATTTGAACAAGTTATTCCAAATGTTCCACTGTAAGTTTTAGTTTAATTTATATGTGTAAATTTTATCGGTTTGGAAGATATTTCATATTTGTACTTAAACTGGATTACTTTGATACCTTTTCATATCATCATCATCATCATCATCAGCCAAAAGACGTCCACTGCAGGACATAGGCCTTCCCCAAGGATCTCCACGACGACCGGTCTTGTGCCACCCGCATCCAACGGATTCCCTTTTCATATACTAAGTGTTAATTAATAATAAAGCATGTGTAATAAGGCGATTATTTCATGAACAATTTTATGTATGATAGACGCTTTGCCCTAAATGCTCGTATCAAATAATAAATGAAATTAGTTGAAAATTACGGGAATCAAAAAGTTGTATCACAATATTAAAGTTATTACAACAATTAGCTTTATTCTAGCAATTAGAATAAGTGAAACTTAATCCTCTTCATTATGGAGTTATAAAACAATTATTATAAATCGAGGCACCAAAGATAATTGGGACATAAAAATATTATTTATCGAATAAAATCAGTTAATCATCTGCATAATGAGACATAAATAGGATATTTTATTTAACGAGATTCTGTTCTCTTATCTAAAATTTAGATGCAAATGTATTTGATCAAGTCAAACTCAATTTCTCTTGAGATAACTGAGATGCAAAGCAACTGATGCAGATGTCGAGTTTCACTAGAATTAGTGTTAAAATTTTCAAAGGATTTTGTGCAAAAAGCCCTTCTTATATTTTGGTAGACAGAAATTAATATTTCGTTGAAATTAACGTTGGTAACATTTTGTTATTGAAGGTGATTTAATAAAGCAGTTTGATGTGCTCTTTATTTAATTCAAACGAAGATTAATGAATCTGCCTGTATTACTTCATTAACGATGAATCTGTCTGGATAATAATTCTGTAATTCTTCTTAAGATGAAACCGTTTTTGTTAAAAGTTTGCCTAAAGTCTATCTTTAAGATAAAGACTAAGTAAATAATTAATCAATAACTTTTGTAAGCCTTTCTGCCACTTTAGCACATCATATTTTTTTTCTTGGGTATTTTAAAAATATTGTAAATATGTATTATTACAATTGTTTATAAATTATGGAAATAATTTTATCAAAAGTAGTTGGTTTTTAAAAGTTAATTAAGTATTTAAGTTTTTGTATAATTCAGTATACAAAAACTCTAAATTTCGGTCGTCATATTGACACCAGTTAAAACGACGCTATCGTAGTATTTCATATCAAGTAGAATTAAAATACTTCAAATAAAAACAGTCTATGAAAGTAGAAGCTTAGAAGCAATTCCTTATTCTTTGGAATAGATGAGGAAGAGAGGAATATATTTGATAAAGGGTCTACACTAGACCTACAAGAACTGCAACAAAAAGGCTATTTTAAGCACTTCAGTTGAGATTTCTTTGTAAAAGGATAGAAAAAAGGACTTTGAAGGCTAGTAAATAGAACGACAGGGGTTAAGGAATGTGTGTAACTAGGGCAGAAGACCTAGTTACACATATTCCTTTAACGTTTATAAAAAGGCAAACTTAAGTGGATACTGTTAAAATACCGGACCATGTTATCAAAGGCACAGACGATGACCACTTCTGATGTAGCTGATTATACTCATTGTAAATTCAATTGTCGACATTTCAATAGCACTTGTCGTAGAGAATAATTATTATTTAAATTTAATGTTCTTTTGTAATAATTTAATGTAATCAAAACTTCTTTTTTCAATAATTCACTCAAACTGTGATAAATATTTGTCTGTTTGTAAAAAAAAACCATCTTAATTATTAGATTTTAATTTTTGATTCCCTGATACTACTTGTTTGATTTTGTAAAAAGACTGTGAAGTTTTATACATCGCATGTACCTATATTAGTAGTATCTTTAGTTTAGAATAGAGCTTAAAGTAAAATTGCTTAAAATTTATTAATTTATTTCAAGTTTCCCGATCATTTAGATAAACAAAACGTTTGAGAAAAATGTAGTAGTTTTAAAATCACAAATGAAAACCACAACTTTTTTTATATTCATAGAACTTTTTTTACGAATGTTTACCATAATCTTAAATTAAGTTAAATAAAATCGCATGTTATTGAAGTTTTAAATACTTAATTTTATCCGGAATTTTAAAATGTATTTACAAATAAAAAGATCATTAAGGTTTCGCATGTGAATGCAGAGAAAGACAAATATGGGCCACTAAATATGTTTATTAATCAAAACCTTACACTAATGGTTACAATGTATATCAGAAAATAGACAAAAAGGAATTAATATAAATAAGTAACGCTTGAGGTCATGCTGACGTGTCCGATGAAAGATACTTCCTTGGAGACAGACGCTGAACATCCTGTAGATACGTCACGGATGATACCGATGATCGATCCAAAGCGTTATATAACCGTAATAAAAATATAATACAATCCATAGGATTAACACAAAATAGCGTAACAAACAAATGTTACACAATAAAAATACTGATTATTATTGTTAAAAAGATTTCAAATGAAAAAATAACTCAATTATTACATAGGGAGTACAATGTAACCTTATCATTAAAGAGAAATTCACATCTATTAAATTGAAATAACTCTAATCTACTCTATATTATATAGACACCAATATATTTGAGTAATTATTATTAATGTGATTAAATAGAGTTTACTCAGAGTTTAGACAATGTTCCGGAGTTTGACTTGGAAAATGTTAGTTGAAATTATCCTTCGTGTCACTTTAAGCACGCCAATTAGAATAAATTAAAAATTAAGAATATTATATAGGAAAAAAGGTCAAAAGACCCCATTACATTCCAATCTCTACGAAGTTGTAAAACCTCAGATATTTCATATCGCCACTCGTTCTTAAATTTACAATTTAAAATTAAAGATAATTTCGATCCCCAAACTACATCACATACGACCCTGTAGATTATTCCGATTTTATCCCAGTCATTTTCAAAAGCTCTCGATCGAAATTAAGTTATACTTATAATAAATTCATTAGGAGTAAATAAAAAAAAACAACCATGAAGAATTTTACCCTTCAATGACATCATTCGAGACTGAAATAGATGAGTGTTAGACTCGATTATAGTGAAATGGAGCAAGAATTTTTTTTATCAAGATTGAAATTTTGAGTCATATTATAATCACGTCATTACTATTTCTAAGTTATAATTAATACTCTCTTTAAAATGACATTTAACAGCAATTTTTTTTCGAAGTGAAACTTCTAATGCAACTTCCAACTAGGTGGCGTTAAACGTTCAACGCTACTGGGGCGGGGGAATAGAAAGAGACGGAGTGAGAGTAAGGGTAAGTCGATAGTCAATTGTAAGCAATATATATTAAGTTTGTTTTGAAGAAATAGTATGAGGTCACCAAAAATGTATTTATACACCTTTCTATTTCCCTTCCCACATTTTGAAGTTTCACTTCTTCCGCGCGGAGGGACTCCACGAACAATTTTTTTTTTCATAGTTATATCAGCCAAGGTTCAAATCTTAACAATGTTATTTATTTCTACGACAGAGATCAAGTAATAATTTTATTACATCAAAATCCTATGTAGCCAGATCAAAGCAAGTTAAATATTTTTGCAAATTATAAGTACCATGCCCATTGTGAGTTAACTACGAGTAGTAACACATCGCAAAGAGCTTAGCAACTCAACGTTATGACATTTAATGACATTATTTTTTCATTTTCCATTGTAACTAGCCGTGTCCGTTGTAAGTTGATCTTTCGTAAGTATCATTTCCAATGTGAGTAGCCTTGTCGATTATCAGTAGATATGTTTTTTATGGGTAGCCTTGTTCATTGTTAGTAGTCTTTTACATAGTGAGTAGCCGAGTTCGTATATTTTTAAGCGTTTGCAACTGCTTTCCCTTCCTTAGATGTTTGTCGTACACGAGGTACAATTTCAATCTATAACACAGAATTAAATAATAATAATCAATGTCCCAATAGAACCACGTCTATTATGATAATTAAGATTAATTATAAGTTTATGCAATATTGTTGTGAAACTGCAACTATTTAGCCTCAATTAAAACAGTATTCTCGAACACACAACTAAACAGAACTTCGTGCTCTGCACAAAGTCAGCTGAAATTCCTTTCAGCCAACACTATAGAAACCGCGCCTAACAATGTTTACAAATACACAAAGTTTTGTCGTTCAGTTTAGGAGTGTTATAAAATTTTAATACGAACCAATATATATTTGAGATAAATATTTTGACATTTATCCTTATTCCTTGATTTTGCTATAGATAATACTAATTATACTGTTGTTAAATCTACATACGTACCTCAGATAGAATTACCCAGTAGTTGCTGCTTCTTGTAACTCTAATTCTAATAGCGACCAACGGTCCAAGACTCAGGTTCCCACTGGCAAAACCGAATTCATCAAACGTATCCACCACCACAAACTTTCGTTTCCTAATCGGAAGAGCTTCTACTACGGCGTTGTAAAATCTATCCCTTTCATGCATAACATTGCCGCTTCGGAATGTATATCTGGGAAATTGATAGATTTGTATCTTGGTAAAACGGTATCGAAAAATTATATGTGGAAGTCGTAATCTAATTAGTTATAAAAAGGATTTTATGCCTTCAAATAAAAAGGCACCTTGGACATTTTTTCGGGCGTAGCTTGTTACTAGTTTTTTCGTGGTTATAAGTAAAGAAAGTAAAAGACTTTTGTACCTGACAACATTAGTGGGCTCCCTAAACCAAAATTCCACAACGCTTCCTTTTGCCGGCTTCATTCCCCAGAAGAAAGTTTCTCCTTCATATGCTTTCATAGGAGTATGATTCCTGAATATTTGTATATCGGTAAAAACTCGTTCCACAGCCGGGTTGTCGTGAGGAAAGAATAGCGGATCGGGTGCATTATTACCCTGCCAAAAAACAATTCTTTAAAGAACCTATGGAATCAGCAACAAGGGCTGCATTTTGTTCATTATAAAAGAATTTGCTTTAACTGTTTATTCTGGAACTAATAATTATATACTTCTCTCCTATACTTAATATTAAAACCATGTGAGAATATATATATATTTCTATTAACCTTAATTCTCTGGATTTTGCCTTGTAGTGTCGAATACACTCCAATATGATTGAACAAAGAAGTTTTATACTTGGGTCAGATTTGCATCTTGCTCTTCGCGCAAGACTCCTGAAATATTTTACACATTATAAACATTTTTTTCCTATATAAAATGCTATTGAAAATCATCCTGCTATGCATTTAAATACCGTGGTCCTGTCGAGAGAGCAAGAGCTGTCAGCAATGTAACTCTCAAGAAGCCAATCAATGGGCATTTGTTTGTAAAACAGTTGGATGTAAGTCATGAAGTAAATCAGATCAGATGTCTTAAACAATTTCCCAATACCGCCGATGTTGCAGAATTCGAGCACATACCAATCAGGATTTGAAATAGTTTTGTCCTTAGCAAATTCCAAAATTTGCTGTAATCAAAATTTTTTATTAATATAAGCAAACACAATTATATTTTTCGATTGACAAAATTATTCGCAATGGCTGTTTTTCTATATTTGAAGTACATGTATAACAATATCTCATAGGAATAAGGAGTCATACAAAGCAATATATTCGCAAAAAATATTCTCAGACACATAAATACATTAATATGATATGAACTACTTATAGAAACGCTTTTCCTACAAAATATAATGCAAGACAAAAAACACAGTCGCATTGCTTTCAATTTAATAGCATTAAACGTAAACACAAAGTTAACATATCCACCAAATATGTACTTCATTTCATCGAAGTTAACAATCTCATATATAAATATTTCTTTTATCTATTGATTGGTCGTAATAAATTTTCCATTAGATGTCAAATTACCTCGATGAACCTCTCCTTAACAGTAATATCATCTTCAAGCATTAGGTAATAGGTTCCTCTAGAGCGTGCATAGGCCATGGTATACAAGACGTCGAGATTTTGTTTTGTGCGCCACATAACGCGTTTGTTGGAATCGCCGAAGTTCGAAGGTAAATTCTCAAAATCCGGATAATAAAAAGGAGATGGTACTACCAATTCGACAAGACCGCTAGAAATGAATTCTTTAAACCTAAAATTATACAACATTTAATATCAGTTCCTTCTTTTAACTACGAGTAGCATAAAGATTTCTCTGATAAAGTAGAAACAATATATGTATTAACACAATTCTTTTATGTATAATAAATACTAAGAACAGTAAAACTTTTAGCTTTCTTTAAGAGCTGAAGAATTCTTTTTCTCATCTATCTTGACTTTAATTAACATCGCAATATCTTCTCATGAAGAAAATATGAGGGCACATATAATTAAATTTTTTATCTTTTTCTTTATCTTGTATACTCATTTACAGTACTTACGTATTTGCGATTTTTTCCACTAATGGACGGACGTAGTCCATGTGTATTTCAGCAATCAAAACCACGATAAGGTTTTTATCCCTCTCCTCATCAGACATACCATGGATTACACTCTACAGAAAATAAATATATCATTCCAACCTAATTTACTGCTTCATGACCGTACTATAATGGATTTTGAGATAGAAAAGTCGACAAACAATCCTTTAGTTATAAATTAGGAAACTCACCGTAAGCGTCGTTACAATATAGGATTCTTTATCTCTGTGTACAGTTGGAATCCCGATAACCACATCACAATTCTGCCGAGTGCCGTTCATCAGGAATACGGGTTTCAGACTGGATGGATGGTCATTCAAATGGGGCATGAGTTGATAAGCGAAAGAATTCAACACCGGCTTTGCATGTTTAGGATTCGCTCCGAGTGCCCAATTCGTACCTGGATAGAATTAATTAGAAAAACATTCGTAATGCCAGCATCACTTATCAGAAGTTTTAAGTCGCTTATATACTTTATAATCACATATAATGTTATAAAAAAAATAAAATGAGTATATACATTCGCAAGCAAAAACAGAAAAAAGGATATAATTTCTTATTTCCATCAAGTGGAATAAAAGTTTTAACAGCTATTCGTCATTTTAAATAAGTAAAGTCAGAAAACTTATAAAGAGCACTGTCGTACGGAATCCCTAAGAATTAATACTTTTGTTCATTCAGAATCAATTATGTGTCTTACTTGTATCTCTATTCAAAATATTTTGCTGTATTCAATTTGATTCATTGTCACTATGTATAAAATAATAACAAACTTTCGCACAGCATAGACATTGTTTTAAACAATGAAATAGGTGTAGTATAAATACAATATCAAACAAGAACAATATACTTAAAATCCTTTGTTTCTAAATTTCTATATAAAGTAATTTTTACTTAAACGACAGAGTAAATATAAAATAATAGTTGGGTTTGACAGAAACTCTGAAAAGTCAAGAGTTATGCTAAAGACGACTAAGTATCTAACCTTTTCTTACATGTATATTTATTTGGTAATCATGATTTGGAAATAGGAAATATACAAATATTAAAATTACACATGTTATAACTTGATTTATTGGGTTCAAATCTTAAATATCTATTGAAGTATGTATCGCTTAGACCATTGATAGTAATGGTGTATACTTTTAAATAATGTATTTATTAGTAATATGAAATGACGCTTAAGGTGCTTGTCACGGCTTTATAAAAATCCCTAAAATAAAAACGGAAAAGTGTCATTAATATCAAACTTTTGTAATCTTTACCAAACTCTGATCATATATAGAAGAACTCTGATTCCAATATCTTTAATTTTTATATCGACTGTAGAATAAAATTATTCTTATGTGAAATAAAATTAATTACTCGCCTGTAATTGATCGAATTTACTGAAAAAAAAATACATAGAAGCATAAGAGACTAAATTTAGATTTTCAACTGTTTCCCTAAAAAAAAATATTGATGATAATTTTTCCTTGTTGTAAAAATGTGTAGTGGAAGGAATATTATATAATTATAGACTTTTAAACACATTTCTCGTCTATGTGTAAAACCTTAACGAACTAATTAGTGCTTAGAGCGTAATGCTTATGCGTCTATCGATGAGTAATATTTATTTATAGAATTGTGTTTCTATAAATGCAGTTCTACTATACGTAAAAAATACATCTGTTTTCCACGATTATTTCTTATATGTATAAGATATAAATCGACATGATCCTTAACACTCAAATAATAATCAAAAGTATATTTCTTTGATCAAATTATAAATGACTATAAGCAAGTAGTAGCACTATGTCTGGTGGTCAAATTGTTTCAACTTCCCAAACCTCTTCAAATTATTTTCTTGACTATAATCAAATCAAATAGTCTTGATATTTTAAACATAAGAGTCTAAACTGGTTTAAAATCACATGACCCATTTTGATGTACCCCAGGCGTAGTATCGTATGACAGGCTTCCTTGGTTCAATTTCATCTACTATAACCTCTGAAATCCTATCTGAAATTTAGGATGATATTCGAAGCGGCAGATGGTATTTAACATATCTATACATACACGTAATCGGATTATAGACATATAAATTTCATACAGAATTTAATCAATATCTATATATAAAAGAAAGTTATGTTAGTTACACTATTCATAACTCAAAAACGGCTGTAGGGATATGGTTTAGAATTGGTGGAGAGATAGCTTAGAAAAAGGAGACGGATATAAGATGTTCAATTCAGTTCGATGAAAACAGAAAAAAAACTTAATAAACTCCAATATCTGTTCATTCACGGCCTCTAGGACGTAATAGAGTTCGCCCAGTCAGCTATACATATGTATATGACTAATACCAAAATGGACGAAGTCGCTGGCAAAAACTAGTAATCAATCAAATAAATCTTTCCAAGTAAACATTGTTTCTGCCAATGAAATATAATCTGTAACGAAACAACTATATACGCACAACCCCTTTCAATTACATGTATGAGTGGGTTGGTTTAAATTCGATTAATGCAATCTACCAGGAATTTATACTCTCAATGATACACTGGAATGCTTTACCTCACATACGGATTGTAAGTTCAATTAAGATGTTATAAATAAACATATTTAGTTTGATACATAGGATTTAAGGAGATCCATATGTGAGGTTTGTGAAATTGTTATTCAATAAATACAATGGAATACAATGTATGTAGTTCATATTTTAATACGTGGGTAGTAATTTGAAGATGATATACATATAATCATGGATAAGATAATTGCTCTGAAAATTCCAAAACAATTTAATAGTACTTATTTAATTGTATCATATATGCAGGCGTTTTTCATATCTACCTGGTAGGTACACATATAATTTATAAGTATCTTATTAATCGATAGTAAGTTTTAGAATTTAAGTAACACAATATAGACGTAAATAACTTTTAAAATTTTCATTTCATAGAATCTCGGATGTCCGATATGTTAATCATTATATCCCGAATTGCGTTAATTCATGTGCAATCAGCTTTAGGACCCTTCACAATAACAAAACTTGATTAACAAAGCTCCATTAGTCCGCTGTCTATTATGCCACGATATTCCAGTTGGATACACAATAAACAGGTAAATTAACAAAATCAATTTAATTTGATTCTGCGTGGAATTTAATTTAAAGCTTCAAATTAAAATTAATTTATTATTTTTGTGATTAAAATTCATAAATACATATGTTGAAATATATATATAAAAGTTTTTCTTGAGACAAAACAACTATTTTAAATTTTTAGACGTCTTTGTAATAACATAAAATAATAAATCGGCTAGCACATTAAAAGTAGACCAATTAGTCATTTATAATTTAGGAAGCTATCTTTGTCTAAATAAGTATAATCACTACATAGTATTTATTTATTAAACATATAAAAATCATGCTACACCTTATATTGGAACCATTATAATGTTGCATGAGAATTTAAAAGCACAATTTTAATCTTTTTTTATTTTATGATTTATTGTAAAACTGTGGTCACGTCGAGGTTCAGAACAACTATTCAAATATACTAGTAAGTAAATAATAACAGCATACAAATAAAGCAAATTATAATTATTACCTGATGAATTTTTCTCTTATAATGGTTTTTGTTTTAAAATAAATAATATTTTGCTTGTCTCGAAATGAGACGACGAGTTATTAGTAATACAAAAACTGCGTTGTATATTCTTATTATGAAAATATACTATCAAATAAGTAACGAGACTATAATTAAGCGAAAACCACGCTTGTATGGTAAAGTATAATATAAAATAAATTTTGTAAGCTATAACAAAAAACAATTAATTGAATCAAACTGCAACACAAAAGCTGCTTTTAAAAAATTATTGAAGATAAAAATCGCACAACGTACATATACGACTCTTTTACCAAAAGATAATTAATTAACTAAAAGCCAATCCGTGTGTTGTTTTAAAAGATTAAAAGCATTTAATCAAATCTGCTCTTTTAATATAGGGTAAATAATAAAAAATGGTAAAAACTAAGAATAAACAAAAAATAAACGTATTCGAAAATTATGTATATTATAATAAAAAACAAAATTAGCTACTAGTGTTCTTACCGGTATGGTGATTGTAATAATCTGAAACAGAAAAATATTAAGCATTGAGTTATTTTGGAAACCAAACATTGATAATAAGATATATTTACTAATTCATAAAAAAAAATTAAGAAAAAAAACAATATGATTTTACGACAATAATTATTTGCACAATTTTCCACTGGTATTATAGAATTTTATTTCGTTTAAAAATTGTACAATACTAATTATAGTTATAAATTAATTAGAAACTCCGAAGCGGTACATGCGTTATAGTTTAAGCTCATGAACTCTGCTGTGGAATTTACCTGAACATAATTTTATTGCCGACTCAAAACCCTTTAATGTAACTTATTACTACATACCATATTAGTTTCAGCACAGTGAGTTTTAGAAATTAACGTTGTTTAGTGTCGGAGTGCTGTGGCTTTTTAGACTTCTATTCATCAAGTTTGTCTTTGAAAATACGTTTGACATGTGAAAGTTACTTCGAATTTTGATACTAGTCATAGAGGAGAGCGGTTCTGTTAATATCACTGGAGCAGTGGATAAATAAATGTTTAGATTAGATATTAAGTAAAACTATTTTGTAGCCTTTTCCTGTTTGAAACTATTTTATAACCTCCATTATAATTTAAAGATCTTTATTAATATAAGCACTTAACGACGTTCCAATGAAACTAGAATGCTTATTTACACTCTTTTCTATTTGTATGCTTTTTTATAGTGTCTTTCGATAGGAAGATATATGTATAAAATACTTCTAAAAAATATACAAAGGTTATGTATGTATGACAAATTCGTTATATCAATTTGAAATTAATATTCAATATTATTAATTCACTTAGTATTCAAAGTTATAATTCTCTAATTAAATTAAACGTTGCTCTTAGCAAGATATTCCATAGTATCTGTGTATGATGAAATAGTATAGAAACTAGTGTTATTTTTATACTTACGGGTAATACATGATATTAGTATTGATGACAACACGAAGATCATGAGGAATAGAGTGCAAAAACCACGTCGCCGCGGCAGATAACCGCCTGGTCTCGGCACTCGTAACATCCTGTTGGATGGTTTTGAAACCTAGAAACAAAAACGTCACCTTCATAACTAAATCCATCCAATAATAGTCCAATTAATTCACAATATCTTTTTATAAGTAACAAATCGACGTCAGAAAAACTTTTTATATTCTACAACTGGGTTGGAGAAATTTAATAACAATTATAAACTGTGGTTTAAACGAAATGTTTGATTGTCATTTAGGTGCTTATCAAAATTTCATATTAATAATACAGGAGCAGTCGCGTGATTTATTTGTATATATATCTAAGTAATAAGATTCTTATAAAATATATAAGAACTATATAATTAACTTTATGAACGTTTATAATTAGACGAAGAGAGGAAATAGAGATACAATTGACAATCTCAGTTTCCGTCGAGTTAATGTAACAAATAACATTCCGTATTTCCTATTTCCTGTTGTGTGTAGGCTTCTGCAGATTAAGTATTAATGTTCAAATATAACTAAAATCTTCAATATAACTATGTAGTACCACACATAGTGCTATGTTAAAAGCGTTTTGCCAACCATCTGTGTTGCTGAATATTGCTTTTAAAGGCTTATAACTCACTAAAGTTCCATTCGCACCATTTTGTCTTATATACGTATATATAATATATATTTTAAGCTGTGTGCATGGAGTATTCATTATTTATTTATGAAGATGTTACAAGCTATGTATATAATAACGCTAAGTAGCATATAGTAAGCAAAGAACTTTTAAATTTCTTAACGTTTTATAGTGGATCACGAAAAACTGTTCCTTAAAATTATGTTGATAATATCACTTATTACAATATTGTCAAATTCTTATGAAATTTTGGAGGAAAATAACATAGTCCAAATAATCATCACGTTATCAAAACTTTACTATATTTATATTTGATTTATATCTTACGTTTTCAAAAACTAATTCTACTTTATCACGGATAACAAAATTAAAAATTGTGAAAACATTAAAAAAGTAATTATACTGAGAACATGTTTAGCTGTGTAATAAAGAATAGGTATAGTTTTCTTTTCTCGGTACTAGATATATAATGTACAATGAAGCCTCTAATAACAAGGGTTATTTATAGAAGAAAATTCTTTTAAATTTATAAAGAAAAATAAATTGCTTTGTTTATAATAATACTTTATAAGGATCATTATTAACTTATTAAATTATCGGAGAAAGGATTTGCGATCATTTTAAAGAGCTTATTGTTAATGAATATTGATAGAAAAGAAAAGATAACACGAAAAAAAGGATTTGAAAATATTTATAGAAATGAAGAGATTATGATTTAATATCGTTCATTAGTTAATTGATAATACTTGTGGAATCATTTGTTCAGAGCATTAATTTTGTAGAAACATTTTTCCATCCTCATAGAATTCTCACAAGGATTCTATAATTTTTTTTTTTACTGTTTAATTTGTTTTGGTAATAGTATTAATTTCTAAACATACGAGTATTTAATTAATTTATGAAATATCAGTAAAACTACATATAAATGTTTAACTAGCATTTTCAAATATAAATTTTTGATGAAAAATTAACATTGTGAAAAGTTAATACTTCAATTCTATTCGACGACCATCAAAAAAATAAAAAAGCTATATTTTGCGATAATTAGTTGTAAGATGATAAATAATTATTAGTACTTTAGAAGATAGACTAAGAAAACAAAGACATAAGGGGTATCGAACCCTGGATATCTATTATATTTTAATCATATTGAAAATAAATATGATTTATATAAACTCTCTATCTAGTTATAAGTTATTTAAGAGTGAAGTTAGTTAGTATTTTCTTAATATTTTTTAATTATTTCATCAAATTATAGTTATATATATGTATATAGTTACGTTTTTGTTTCAAAATTCACATTGAAGCGACAAAACAAAAAGCAATATAAGAATTGATCACGCATACGCAATTATACTATCGTGAAAGCAAGAATCAAATTTCAATATAATATTGTTTATTTGTTTATACTCGTATTTAACGAATTCGTTTGAAATAACCGACCACAGTATCTAAACGCTGTTATTAAAATTTTCAACGTAACTAAATATCCAGCGAGCATTTTGATTGTTGTTCATAGTTTTTTATAGACTGTATGAAATATAAATAAAAATGTATGAATACAAAAACCAAAGTTTCAAATATATTCATATGAATGAGAAGGTACAGTACACCAAAGCTTGAATTTATTAAATTATTAGACATCATTTGATATCTGCGTATGCATTCATACTTTGATTAAGATATTAAGAAACTTTAACACATATAGAGACAGAGAGCTAATGAAATGTTGGACTGTAACCGAGTTTTGTATACAGCAGAAACTTTGTGTCCGAGACTGAAGTCACCACAAGGATAATACTATTAAATGATTACAGATAGCAATATAAATGGAGACTGAACTTAGTTCGGAGAAAACGGATTATGTTGTAAAATACAGTTTATAATTTAATTATATCTATAATGTTCTTATTTTATGAGATTGACACAATCAATGAATACATATCAAACCAAATCATTGAATGTTTCCAAGTTTTAAAGAACTTACTGACAAGGGTTAAAAATTAAATAGTTTAAAGCAACGTAATATATTTTTGAATACATGATGCTTGAGGCACTTTATGAATAAAAATGTTATGTATATCAATTAATATATTTAAATAAGTAAAATCACATTTGAGTTTTCTAAAAAATACATAAACTTCTTTACTTAAAAAATACGAGGCGAAATACCGAATCAAGTAATCATGTAGGGAAAAAATGACTTACATCATTTCGGAAAAGAGCTGACTCTTTTATACAACTCGACCGATTAATCAACCATAGCTAAGAACTATCGAAAGAAAACTGTATTTCAACTGTAAACAACCGCATCAAAAACGATCTATCTGTTCTAAAGCTACGATGGTACAGACAGACTGACACACAGAACGTCAAACTTATAATACCCCTTCTTTTTGAGTCGGAACTAAAAAAAACAGTTGACATAGTTTAACATAGCCGACAATAACGTATTTTATTCTTACATATAATATTTTTTTTTATTTTACTTTCCATTTTTTTTACATTCACAATCATTAATATAAAGTCGAAGTGCAAATACAATAATGCTAATGGACGTACAATGCAAAACATTTTAATAAATGTTGAATAAATTATTTAAAGATACTTATAAAATATTTTGATACAGTAAATATGTACATATACTTTAATATTTATTCCTCTTTTTAAAACAAAATTGATAAGGTAATTTACAAATTGATTCAAATTTCTCAATGGAATAAATTATTGACTTAAGGGAAATGTTCACCAGAGTATTGGTCTGCAATCAGGACATCTAAATTTAGTTAATGCTCGGACCATCGAATATATAGCAAGGAGCTATTTCATAACTTCACCCTTCATGCTATGACAGACTGAATATACAGAATGAATATGACAGACTGAAATCTAACTGGAGTTGAACATTATGAGCCGATACAGATTACATCAACCAAATAAGATCAGTGGTGGCTCAGTGGTTAAAGGGCCCGCCTCTAGGCCTCTCGTCGCCGAGGGCGCGGGTTCAATCCTGGCCCGGGCAAGTACCAATGTGATTTTTCCGAATCATATGTACTTTCTAAGAGTATTTAGACATCACTGATTAATGTTGATTCCCAAAAGAGGGTTGATGTCAGGCAGGCAGCCGGTCGTAAAAACAAATAGCCAAAAACTATTCATAACATGTAAGGCAGACCCTGGCTATAGCTGGGAAATTGCCAGGTAGAAGAAGAAGACAGAATACATCAACCAATAATTAAAGAAAAAGTTACCCCCAGTTTACTTCCCGCTGACGGATGAAAAGTATTCAATAATTCATAAGAAGATTGAATTTAGATTCGATGACAAGTGACAACCAATATCAGATCACAAATAAATCTAACCACCAATAAAATTTACATCACAATTTCATTTCCTTAGTGAAAATAGACTCTTCCCTTTAAAATAATTTAAAGTAGATACAAAAAGGTAATTTAAGTCTACTTCTAGATGCGCTATACTGTACTGGATAGATTTTTCTTAAAGGATATGAGACCTCAAGTAAAATGTTGAGAGTACTCGGAAATAATGTTATCAAGCTACAGACATCAAAGCACTACCTGTAAGTAGTTATATTCTGATTTTAATATAAAATCATGTGCATCATCGTATTAATATAAAGAGTAAGTTAAAATAAACTTCTTATATAAAAATTAAATCAATCTCTTTATGATATATTCAGTGTTTTAAAAAGGAACTAGTTTTAGAAAGTAAAATAAATATATATAAAGAAGAATTTGAATGAATTACACTCAACAGAGTTATCGTTCTAATTAAATCTTTAGTAATTCTTCTTTTTGCTTACTTAGTCATATATTCGCATTTGATCATGAACACAAAATCCACACACAAAAATACAATTGCATCCAAGAAGTTAAAGACAGAATATTTTAGATACATTTAATGTTTTCTAATAAAATCTTTAGCTTTCAAAGCAAAACTGCTCAACTTCTAGTATACAAATATAAAAGCCTTGAAGACTACCTCTAATAACCTTTTAGACGTATTAAAGTTGCCGTTTAAATCTGTCAAATGGAGTGGAAATAAATAAACCTACGAGCATTACTTTCTTGCTACGACTTTCGTTTATTTTAAAAATATACATTTTCATCTTTATTTTCTGTAATAAATAATGCAAAAAGGAAATGTAGTATCAATTTGAAATAATAACAGTATTTTGGTACGAAATTTTGGAGTCCCATTGTTAAATACACATTCAATTTAAAGCTGACACTTGCGGTTCTTCTGCCAATCATATCATTTGAAACAGCATTAGTATATGTACTAATTAGTAATTAGTATTTAATAAAGCCTAAAATCGAAACCGTATATAAAATAACTCGCATACATTATATATATGTATATTGATAACTTCATTTCATTTTCTATATAGATTTTAATTAATTA